GTGATCATACTTTTAAAACTAAAAATGATTGAGATCAGAGATGTGAACAACTGGACATGTTTAACAATAATTAGTGAGATAGAACAGACTTTGGTGATTTAACTCCATTAATGTGAAGAAATTTCTTTAAATTAAAAGACGGATATGCCTAGAAAGACGTGACTAGAAAGTCTAGATGTTGGTGGTGGCTGAGTAAGTCCATGTCAGACACTGCCCACTGATTCATTTCAATGAGACTACTCTGTTGACACACTGGTCAGACCTTCCAAGATTTCACATGCTTTTTTTTTTTAGGATTGTTGCTGCCTAAAATACCCGATTTCACAGCAGTTTTTCAAAAAAATTGCAATGCATGTAAAATATAAGGCAACTTTTTCCAGTCAGAATAACGTCACGCAGACGTCTCCCATTTGTAAATGATTATTAACGTTTCATGCAGGAAACTATGATCGGTCAAATTTGTAGAAAATTGCAAGGTCACACAGAATTCACAGGGATTGGTTGAATTTATGTTAATTGTTGTGATTGCAACATCAGAAGTAGCTGGAGGGACTGACTGGTTACGCAGCAAGAGAGAATTACAGTCATGCAAAAAATGCTAAAACGTTGTATCTGCTAGCCATAACCAAATATCATCCAGCAATGCACTGCTTTGAGCAATCCAACAGGTGAAAGCACACATTCCAGGTAGAGTATTTGTAACATGAACAGCATAATTGACCCACCCTAAATCCCGCCCCTTTTTGCTCTATGCTCCAATAACAGTTGAGCAAGCAAACTTTCTCCTTTCCTGTACTTAGATATGCTATGTTCTAGACTCGCTTTGAGCTTTGAGCTGTAACTAGCTAGCTAACGATTGAAGGGGCGGGACTTAGGAAGGGTCAATTCTACTGTTTACGATCGTGGAGTCAGAGGATACGATTTTGTTGTTGTTGTGAAGTTAAGTTCCTCATCGTAGTATAAACCTGTGCAGTCTTTTAGCGTCTGTTAATCCTTAAAAACTCATGGATGTATTTCTCAAACTGGCATTCCTGTCTCGTATTTCATAGTCTGGCCGGTATCTGTAGCCACATCACGTCTGAACGCTGCCAATAGGTGGAACATGGACCCTCTGAATCTCCCGGAACAATCTGACAGTTCTGGTGATGATGTGTTGCGCAATAGTCCGTCTGAAATACAATGACAGAATCACAAACATATGAGAAGAGCAGCATCCAACAGTTGGTTCATGGATCTTCTATTATCAAATCCACATTGCCTCAGAGTGGCCGTCCTCTTTGAGAGGAAAAGCAGAGGAATTACTAACTCTCATGCTCATTTTTATATTCAGATTAGCTGGCTGAGACTAATTTTTATTGTTTCTTGTATCCCTCGACTTCTTAATCACAGCAGAATTGAGGGGGGAGGGGGTTTAAGTGTCAGAGAAATGTATTCTGTCACAGCCGTAAGTGCTTTATTTGAGTTGGTGAGAATAATAGCTTGAAGACTCCAAAAGGTGCCACTAAATATTGCCACAGTTGCCTAAAGGTCTGAGTTTTGATCCCTTTCCAGTTCGAGCAGTGATGCCGAATACACAGATGCACAAGGTTGTTACAGGTGGACGGACAGATGCTGATATCTGATAGCCTGCAGATTGTCATGCTGTGGAAGCCGAACAGAACAGAAATGTAGTCTGGACTGATGCTCATATTCAACTGTTTCTACATCTGTTGTGGAATTAATATCAGAGAATGTGACTTGCAGCAAAGAGGTGTGCTCTGATGAGGAATGCTACACAAACCTCTCATCTGGAAGGCTACTTACTTGTGGTCCTGATGACTTATTGTAGCTCAGATTTGCTTATAATGGACCCTTCCTCAGTGCCTTTGGGAACCTGGATCAGCTGTGTACTTCGATTTGCTATGTGCCAGGCTCGTCTATATTGAAAAGATCACTACGTTTTGAAAATGGTTGAAACATAAAAGCCACATGTAGCCTACAGTATTAAGTAACAACGTAAGCTAAGTAGCTACTTAATCTACATTAATCGTAAATAAAGTATGTAATAGCATTTTGCTAACATTAGCTAACTTAAAATGTGTCCATATATATTCTGCCTTTATCTTTTAACCATCTTCAGAATGTGGTTCTTTTCAACATAGATTAGCCTAGCATATAGCATATCTAAGTACAGGATAGGAGAAAGTTGCCCGAGGCGTGCTCAACTGTTATTGGAGCACAGAGCAAAAAGGGGCGGGGCTTTGGAAGGGTCAGGTGTGCAGCGTGAACCATAACGGACCATATCTAAAATGCAAGGATGTTGGGGCTGCATGGCTTATGGACTGTGCTTTAATGTGGCCTCTTTGTTTCGTGTGTCCTTGTTCTTCATGTGCTGATGTCCAATCAAGCCTACGTTTGCCTGGTTTCTAGCATTGCTGCAGAGTGTCTTGGGTGTTTGTCTTTGCAAATGGCTAGCTTATCTGTAAAAGCCCAGTTTATGTTTATCTGCATATGGTGACAGCGACATCCCTGCAAACTGTTGTCAGATGAAGGTCTGCTCTCATGTGATGTCCAAGGATAACACAGGTGGTTCTTTAATTATGTTCTTGATGCTGTCTGTAGTCTCACCTTGTTTTGTTTGTCTTCTGTTCTCTTCTTTCTGTCCCCTCTCCATCTCTTCAGGCCGGTGAGCCACATAACTCAGGGCACCGCACTGACAGTCAACACAAACCCCAACGTCAACATCAAGTCCGAACCCGTCTCACCAAACCGCGACCGCAGTACCCCCAGCTCCACCTGCGGCGGCGGGGGAGGTGGAGGAGGCCAGGGTCAAGTCCAGGGACAAGGTCTGGTGACGGTCGCCTACCCGGGTAACCTGCGCCTGGAAGCGGGAGGTCAAGGCCGCTCACCAGTCGACAGCCTCAGCAGCAACGGCAGCTCGTATGAGGGCAGCGACCGGGACGACGGCACCCAGGGACGAGGCGGGGGTCTGGACTTCCACCACCAGGCCAGCGGCGGGGCCCAGCAGCCCACCATGGTCCTCCTGCGGCCCTCTTCGGCCGAGCCCCAGGAGCAGGACGGGACCAACGTCAAGAGAATGAGACTGGATACCTGGGTCACATGAAGAGATGAGCGGAGAGGGATGGACGGACGGACGGACAGATGGAGGATGGAGATGGAGATGTGTACTTGTGGCTTGTGTACATGCCCCCACCAGCCCTGATGCCCCTGATCTCCTTTCCCCTGCATACACACACACACATATAAATATATATCCCCGCCATCGACCCAGTAACCTGCTGTCCACACAGGAAACCCTGACCTCACACACACACACACACACACTCACAACAAGCATGCTAACACTCTCATGTCGCACGTATGGACACTGACACGCACCTGTACGCCAATGTGCATACACATTTGAACTCTAATGTACTTTTACTCACACACATACACAAAACCCCGAGGGGTTGAGCCACCAAACCAGGGATTATTCAAAACAGTTACAGTGTTGGACTTTATTCAGCTGTATTTGAGTGGAAGTGAATGAGTACGTTTTTAATCAGGCCTATTTCGCCCGAGCCGCTGGCAGAGCAGACCAACCTGGTTTCCCAGCATGCCCTGCATTAGCTTAGCGGCTGGTGGTATGCTCCCGCTTTCTCGTCCATACTGTTCATCAGTAGGTTTTGGTCAACCACAAACTGCACTGCATTGAGCCAGTGCCACCAAATGAGTCCACCTGTTTGTACACATCGGCCCGACCACGGTTGTATCGCTATCGCTTTAGATTCTCGTTTCTTTTCTAAGAGCCTCGGGCCATTTTGCTCTTTTTAAAGCGTGGAGTTTTGTCCTTCTGTCTCAACTGTTGATCTTTAGAGTTTGGATTCGCTTCAGTTTTTGAATATGAAGACACTAAAAAGAAAAACTCCCTCCCCAGCCGAGCCAGTGGCCGCATCAACAACAGGCCCGGCACTTTGGCCCTGTACAAGACTGACGACCCCCGGGTCTTCGTTTAATCTGAAACATGCAGACTAGCTGTCAAACGAGGAACACGATTTGTTGCCGAGGTAAAAGACTGCTTTTCTTTGAATCAGGGACGAGCTGCAAGAGCTCAATGACACATGACGCAGATACTCCTAGTTTCGCCCACATCTTGTCAACTCCAGATGCTGAGAAAGGCATGTGTGTGTGTGTGTGTATACGGGTTTGTTACCTCAACTGGTCGTTTTTTAACAAAGTGATTTGGGCAAATGTTCATTCTCAATTTCATCCTTGAACACACACCTGCAATGCACACAGCTGAAATTATTTTTGTGAAGCGACTCGTGTTTTGAATAGATAGCTGATGTTCAAAGGGGAGATTCGTGAGGTACCATGTATATAAGCAATCTGTAACCTTTGTGGCTTTTGTGTGACAGGGATAAGGTGTTTTGAAGGTTAAAAAAAAATCATATACAAGTATATATTTAAACAGCTTCAGGCGGTAGCGAGGGCAGCTCTGCATCTGGGGCCGGAGACGACAATAGACGACAGGGATTGTATATATTAACTATATATTCGGCAGGATATCCCTCAACAAAACAGGAAAAAAAGCAAACACATTGATTCTCAGTGGATCGGTCTCTTTTTTATTATTATTTATGCGTGTATATAAAGTGTAATATGTCGACGAGCCAAGAGAGGGTGCTGTAGAGGCAGAAAGGGAAGACGTAGCCGTGGTGACTCGGACTGTTTTGAGTGAGCAATGGTTAGGACTCTGTCACTGATGGAGCGCACTTTACCTTTTAACCCCTGACACCTGATCCACACACACACACACGCACACACACACACACACACGTCCTGTACATGCACACTAGGGTTAGACTGATATTACTGGCTGGTTTGTTCAAAATCTGATATTCAGCAGATACAAATAAATGTGTGCACTTTTTATTTAATCCTTAAAAAATGAGTTTTGTTGTAATTTAATTGAGATAATTTATTACTGTACATCAATGAACCAGAGCTCCCTTTACAACTCTGAGCTGGACCACCTTAAATATGTATCAGTGGCTGCCTGTTTGCAGTTAGTATAATTCATTCATTGAATTCACTTTAAGACAATATGAGGGGAGAGAAATTAGTAAAAGAAGTAAATAGGACCTTCTAAAAGGAAATTTGTACATTTATTTAAAACTTCATGAAATGATTTATCATTAAAAGGGTTTAAATAAAAATATCAAAGTACAACCTAAAAGGCTATTTAAAAGATATTTTTATTTATATATATTTTTTCAATTTTATTTAAAACATGAATAATGACAGAAAGAATTGGCACGCTCATTTTATTTAGTTTATTGCTAATTGCAGCAATTGTAAACCCACTAATCATGATAGGTTGTTTTTTTCATATCAATTAAGCAACTAATTAACCACAGAAAATAATCCTAAATTTAGTAGTTTCATCTTTTAAAGGCAACAGCAGCTTACAGTGTAAGCTAGTTGAGTGTCCCATGAGGGTCTAAACTCCCTCCCAAAAAATAAGTTTGCAGTTTGGCATATCAAAGTATTTGCAGCGTCAATGCCAGCATCATCTGTCACAAACATATCAGTCGAACTCTAGCAGACACACAGACAGCGTACGATTAAGCGAGCCAAGGATGTCCCCTTTTCGAGGTTTCCCGTTTCCTCTTGTTAGAAGCCATGTGTGTATATTTAAAGGATCTCTCCTTCGTCACTGGTTGGCTGTGGTTTTATATTACGGAGAGGTAAAAACGACTATGAAGGTAAAAGAAATGTGAAGGATGTCATTTTTGTACTGCGTAAAAGTGGCAATGGGTGATTTAGGGTTTAGTGGGTAGATTTAGCGGTCAAGAGTGCAAATTCATCTATTTATTTTTTTCCTAAAAGCACTCTCAGCCTCCGTCCATTTGCTTGTTAAAAGCTTTGGAGGCAGTCTGGGTATCGTTTCGTCGTTAAGCCGGAGGTTTCAGAACGAGTCTTGATCTTTTAATGACTACCTCCCAAATCCAACGCAGACTTGTCGACTTTGGGTTTTACTACATCCAGCCACCACATCCTTCTCACGGGCAGGCCCTCTTCACCTCCCTCTCACCCCTGTCACTCACTCACTCACTCACTCACTCAGTCGGGGTTTTTTTCCTCCTCTCTGGAAGCTTAATCTCAAAACCACACACACACACAGTTTTCATCACACACTACTTTTCTGTTTACTCCGTCCAGACAGCGGGTGTCAGCGCTGAAATGACAAGTCAAATTATTTTGGGGGGTCATTTCCATGAATAACACAACCCCCCCACCCCCACCCCAACCCGACTCCCCAGCCTCATCACACACTACTCCCATCATCCTCTCCTCACTTTATCTCTGTTTTTTTTTTCTCCGTCTGTCACTCACACACACTCATCCACTCTGTGACAAGTCTGAGTGTCAATATTGCTTTTCTGAGCGCGTGGCAGAGTAAACATAAATCCCCCCCCAGAGTGTAAACACTTTGACTGTTAAGACTGTTGTACCCTGAGCTCCGAACAAAAAACTGAAACAAAACTCGACCCCACGTATTGAAACCGCAAGCCATAGGTTTGTCAAAAAACGAAACAAAATGGCTTTCTTTTTGCGACGGGGGTTTTGGCACCGGTCGTATGAAGCCCTGGCACGTTCTTTAGAGCAACACTAGGGGTCGCTGTAATCACAAAACCGAAAGACAATCGTGCTGAGAAATAGTTTAAAGAACCTGCATCCCCCCTCCCACACACAGAAAAAAGCGATACTTGCTCCTGTATAATGATGTTTAGAAGTCTCACTCACTTTCCAGTGTTAATTTGTGCTGGTGACAGTCTGTTTTTAATTGTTCTCTGATAATTGATATTATTATTATTATCATCATTACCACAGCTTACACTGATGGTAGCTGTCGTGATGATATAGAAATCTGCGTTTTCTTTTGTGTAGGTTAGGCATCTTGTTTTATTTGGAATTTGATTTTATTTTATTATATGAAAAATATTCTATAAATATATTTTTTGTTTTCTCTTTTTCGGGATTTGTTTTCCTTTCTTCAAAAAAAAAAGGGTGTTACTAATGTTGCACGATTTTTATGACATGAAACAAACAACACAAGCGTAGTGATATTAGTACACGCGTGGATGTGGACGGAGGCGCCGAACGAGTCGACTGCGACAAACCGCTTCAATGCTGCAACTTTGAGTCCAATGTACAAACCTCTCAGTCCACACATGCTACCATGGGGTGGG